TGGGCCGCATCTGCCTGGGGGACCACCTCCCGCAGGACTGCCCGGGTTGACTAGGGGCGCTGACCCCTACCCCCCGGGAGGCCTCAGGTGCCGAGGGCCCTGATAAGGCCCGGGGGGCGAGAAGGGGCGCAAACGCCCCAAGCAGGCACAGAAGCCCCCTCCTGCAGGTGCCGAGGGCCCTGACACAGGGGGGGGACAGGCCAGGTGGCGGCCATCCTCGGCGGAACAAGGATGGGGACGGCAGAACCAGCGTGCACAACGCCCTCGCCGTGATCAGAACAGCCACACAACCGGCACAACGGCGGCGCCTCAGTCCCGAGCCACAGGTGCCGAGGGCCCTGATATGGCGGGGACGGGACGGTTCCCCGCAGGTGCCGAGGGCCCTGACACGGGGGGCCGCACCCAGAAGGCCCGAGTGCCGGATGACTGGCAGCACACCGCAACGCCAAGGGACACTCCCAGGAGGCAGCCGATCCCACTTCCGGCGCCCAACATCATCAAGCAGGACCCGGTGGTTTTCCACAAGAGCTCGGTGGGGCTGAATGAAGGGGGCCAACGCCTTTCAGCTACCCCCCTGACAAGTCCAACGGAGCCGTCACCGGGATTGGACATCTTCCCGTGGATGGAGAACATCCCTGAGCGTCTGGTACAGCGGCTGAGATGGACACAGGGCACATCGCCCAAAGTTCCATCCAGTGGGCCCATCATTGTCCTGCTCTATGCAGGCAAGGAAGACCCAACTTCCTTGGACAGCTGTCTTCATGCCAACTACCCACACCTTTCCAGCATGGTGGTGGCGGTAGACATCCTACGGTCTGGACCCAAAGGGGACCACGATATGCTCCAACCCGAGCTGTATGGAGCTCTTTGCACGGCAGCAAAGCAGGGCCGAGTGGTCTTCATTGGAGGAGGACCCAACTGCAGGACATGGTCCATCCTGCGCCACATACCAAAACCGGGGGCTCCCACCCCGGTGCGAGGGCGCACTCCAGAGACACTTTGGGGCCTTCCACACCTGGACCAGGCCGCCCAGACTCAACTTGATGATGACAGCATCCTCATTCTGAGACAGATGTACATCACCAGCCTGGCAAGGGCCTCACGAGCGGCGGTTTCTCTGCCAGGGCCCAGGTCCTTCCTGGAACACCCGGAGGACCCAGTGGTGAGCAGCTCGCTGCCCAAAGCCAAGGAATGCTCATCCTTCTGGATCACAGAGGAGGGGCAGCTTTGGATGGAGGAGAACTCCTTGACAGCAATCTCCTTCGACCAGTGCCGCCTGGGCCAGCTGGTCAAGAAGGCCACTACGCTGGCCACGGATCTCCCGATCCAGGACTGGGATCAAATGCGGTGCACGCATCAGTCACATGTGGGCACCAACGAGTCCTCGACTCTTAGCAGATACCCTTGGGATATGATGGCAGGCCTGGCCAAAGCCATCGCTGTGTCACTCGCAGCGCCGGGGCACATCCGGATCCCCTCACAATTTCCGGGAAACCCCAAGGGACCACCTAAGGGGCGGGGGTCGGACCCCCCGGAAGGCCATTCCCCCCGGGAAAAACGGGAAGCCCGGAGGCAAGAACGCCCCGAAGCCCCGCCTGCACGGGCAGTTCCACCCTGAGGCAGACACCGTAAGCCCTCGTGGAACAATGAACCCAGACTTCCCATCTCCCATGCCCCCGATGGCCGGAGATGCGGAACAACTGGGGAAGGAGGGACAGGGGGACCAGGTCCTGGACCGCCCCGAATGCCTGCCCGCTTTCAGGGTCCCACACCTCACTGACCGGGTGGCGATTGTCCAATTGGGTTTCCGCTCACGCCCCCTGAGGGATGGGGGGGGAAAACCTTCCCCAGGGAGGCTCAACCCCCCTTTTCGGAGAATTTCCCCATTGGCTACTTTGGGCGCCCTGATCATGACCCTTACCCGTCCCTGGATTGACAAGGTCCGAATGTCCCTGGCATCAGGTGCCACCACACACCCCTTCCAGGAAGCCGACCTCGAAGAGCTGCGGGCTATCCTAGGACCGAGGCACCTCCATGAACGATGCCCAGGACAACCCTTCCTCCTGGACTTAGTGTCGCACTTGGCATCCCTTTCAGGTGACCCTGATTGGGAATTCCCCCTAACACTGAAAGAGGGGGTCCCCTTGGGAGTCTCGGACCCTACCTTGACCTCCCCGGGAGTTTGGCCCACTAAGGAGGAGCTTAAGGGAGAAGCCTGGCTGGGGGAAGATCCCCCCCCGCCAGTGGCTCATGATAACTACCCAACGGCTGAACTCTTTGCCAAGGAAATCGAATCAACCTTTTACGAGGAACGAGCCTTGGACATGGTGGACGGGCCCTTCACTCGCTCCGAGGCGGCAGAGAGGTGCCGCTGCAAACCGGAGGAACTTTGCCCGGGCCCCCTTGCAGGGATTGATGAGTCGGACAAGATCAGGACGATCTATGATGGCTCAAAAGGGGGAGCAAACGCACACATCCAGGCTCACACGGAGGAGAAGACCACCGCACCGATGGTTGGAGACTGCCTCCATGCCATCCACTGGCTCAGGACAGCGGCGGACCATCCTCATCTACTCCGAGCCCCATCCTCGGGCACTGATGAGGAACCTCGGGATGTTCGCCAGCCGGTGCAGGGGCAGTCCCCAGGTGCCGAGGGCCCTGAGAGGCAGCACCAGCCTGCCCCCAGGTGCCGAGGGCCCTGATAGGGGCAGGCGGATGATGGAGACCTCAGGCGGCCTGGACGTCTCTCCGCGGTCAACACCCTCAGGGAAGGGGCCACTCCCAGGTGCCGAGGGCCCTGATCGGAGGGCCCCATTCCCCCCACCCCCCCCAGGCACGGAACGCCCTGGGGGGAGCAGGGGGGAACCCCTGACGTGGCAGCCGCCGACACAGGGGGAAACCTTCATCATCCTCAAGGCGGATGTCACCAAGGCCCACAGGCGCATAAAAGTGCTCCAGAAAGACTGGAAATACCAGGTGGCCTGCATCCAGAACCGGTGGTGGGTCAATAGAGTGGGCACGTACGGCATGGCCTCGGCACAACTGTACTGGGGAAGAAAGGCATCCTTGGTGCTCAGACTCTTGTACTACATCTTCCCTCAGGTAGACTGGCACTTAGTTTTTGTGGACGACTACTGCTGGGTCCTCAGATGCAGCAGGGCGGACTGGGACGCCACAGCCATCCTGGCCACTCTTCTGGCGCTGGGAGTCCCGCTTTCTTGGAAGAAGACGGCGCTCTCCCCGGTCAATACCTGGTTGGGATTCGTGGTGGACCCAATCACGCCCTGTGTGCTGCTGGCTCCAGTCAAGCACGTCATAATCCTGGCCACTCTCAAACGGCTGGCCCAGGGGGACATCTTTACCAGCAAGGAGGTGGAACAAGCCCTGGGCCGGATTCAATGGGCTACTTCGGCGTGTCCATTGACGAAACCTTTCCTCCAGCCCTTTTGGAGCTGGAAGAAGGCCTGCACCACTTCGGGCAGGCCACCGAAGCTGGTTCGTGCTCTGGCCATCCTTCTGGGGAAGCTCTTCAACCAGAGGTTCCCACTGGCATCTCCATTTGCTCCCACACTTCCATGGACGGGGGCATCTGATGCGGGAGCTGGCAAACAGGCGGACCATGCATGGGTTGGTGGTTGGTGCTCGGACGTGCCCAACCCCGACAAGTCCCGAGTGAAGTGGTTCCAACACAGAATCACACCGGAGGGCGAGCCGTGGGCCTTCACTACTGGGGACCCGCAGCGGGCGATAGCGGCCTTGGAGCTCTTCGGCCTCCTCCTTTTGGTGAGGGCTGTTCTGCTTTGTGCAGCCGGCTCGGCTTCTCACACTAGGATTCTGGTTGCTAGTGATAACCAGGGAAACGTTTTCTCCCTGCTTAACGATTCCACTCGCAGGATGCCCAATGCGGCCATCCTCATGGAAATTGTGTTAACACTGCATGACCACCAGGTCATGTTAGGACCGTCGCATGTGAAGCGCGACTTTAACACATGGGCGGATGAACTTACTCATCCGGACCCGCAATTTCCGACTGAGAACCGGGTCTTCCCCTCAGTCGAAAGCGAATTGATCAAGTTGATCTTCGCTACTTTCCTTCCTCACCCATGATGCCGGGAGGGCATCCGGTGAGGTGGGAGGATTCCTCCCTCGCTGTGGGAGTGGCATCAATTCTACTCCCATCAGCTGCTGAGGGGAGCTGCCCAGTGGAGCTGGGCAATCCTCCCATTTTGGCACTAATCCTTATGCGGCGTAAAGGATGCACCGTTCGCGATTAAGGTACCAGTAGCACCAATGTGGTGCTTTGAAGAGTCTAGTAGAGGTCCCAAAAGGTTACCCTTTGGGCAAGTGAGAATCACTTCCTGACTTCCTGGACTTCCAGCCTTTAGGAAGGCCACTGTGGCAAAAGGCTTGGCCAATCCAGGAAGTGTTTCCAATCTTGTCCAGTTCTTTCTTCTTATGTACTCAGACAGTCAGAAGATCTCAGAAAAAGAACAACACCCATCCCCGAAACAGTAGACATGACAAACAGGTACCCGATCCCACCCGAGAAAGCTACTTTCAAGCGCCAAACCACTACAAAACAACAAAAGCAATACTAAACCAATACTGCGCGATCGCTTTCTTCTATCCACTTTACCACGAAAACCTGCAACGGTGACTGCAAAAAGCAGCAACTTGGCTGTGGCTATCTAGGCAATACGAAGCCACTCTGACCCCAGATCGTTTTTCTGGCTTTCTCAATAGGGTCCCCCAAATTTGTTTGAGGCGGGGGGCCACGAAACCCCATTCAACCAAGCTAACCCCCAGTTAACTTAACGCTCAGTTACCACCCGGGGGTTCCCCAAATTTGTTCAAGAAGCCCCACTGAAAAAGGCAAACCCCCAGTCAACTTCACCCTCACTTTCCCCCCATCTCCCCCCCGTCCCCCCGGTTGATTCCCTATGCTAGGCTCACTCGCTCGTCCCGTCGATTCATCCTTCAACTCGCCATCGCTTCGCCAGGTGCGTGTTGGGCTTTGCGATCCTGAACGTGGCCTACAGCTCAGAATCCGACGAAGACGAGAGGAGCAATGCTGACCCCGGGTGAAGAAACCTCCTATTCACTTGACTGCTATTGGGTTGGATCTTTAGACTTTAACTGTTTGGGAAATAAGGGTGTTTTCCACTAACCCCCCCCCCCCCCAAAAAAAAAGAGTTAAACTTTTTGCACGGGGGTCAACAGCAACCAAGTTCACAGTTAATAGCGGGTGTTCCCCTCCAAAAGTTGCAAATCCCTAAATAGCCTCCGTCCTACTTAAAGGGGCGATCCATTCGGTACGTCAGGGAAGTGGTTAGTAACCATGGAGTTATAACCCACACAGGCCATGGTTATAAGTCTCCGTTCAGTGGGTCAGAAAGTCATGGTGACTGACTACAAACTAAGTACCCGAGCGCCCCTTTAAGTATTCATAGTGAATAGCGTGTGTTCCCTCCAAAAGTGACACATCCCTAAGGGGACACCTCTCATTAATTAACCGTGGTGACGCAGAGCTGATTCACTCGTCAGACTTCAAAATAGATAAGGCGCAGTGTGACATTAAATACTTCCAAATGTGTTTGGCAAAATCCAAGATAGGCTTTATGTATGCAACAAGATAGGCTTTATGTATGCAACAGTTGGGAAAAACATATTTTCTCAAAGGGGGGCATCTTGGACCGTCCGTTTCATGTCTTTGCAGGTCCAAAGGCCCCTACCAAAAGACTGATTAGCTTGAGGTGTGTTCTCATGGGTTTAGGAAAGCTGGAAGGACACAAAGGTTATGGTTGCTGCTAGGTTTGTTTCTTCCTTGTTCGGTGCTCGGATGGCTGGGCCAAGTTTGGCCCCACTTCTGCGTGCACGAGCTGCTATCAACGTCTACAACAATATTTGGATGGGCTGCTTTGGGCGGGCACCGGAAAGCCTCTTCAATCCACCTAAATCCAGCTGGTTCGAAAATCCTGAACTCCTCTATCCTTTCTTTGGTGCATTTTGCCAAGGGATGTTAGGACTGGACAACTTTTGGCCAACTCATGGATTTTCCGAATTCAACCACTAAAAGTTAGTCACTTTTAGCGGGGGAGCCTAAAGAGCAACCGAGAATTAATCGCTGCGAGGTGAGTGCGGTCTTTGTGCAACAAACCATGAAGACCGCGAGCTCGGATGAGGCAAGGGACACACGTCCAGGTCCAGTAAAGGGCACAGCTTTGGGTTGGGGGGGGGGAGTACACACAAAGCTGGCGAACAAGGTCAGTGCAAAAAAGTTGGGGCGCTTTCATTGCCAAGCTTGCTTGACCTTTTTGATTCTGTGTGGTGAATTATAATACTGGGTTTCCTTGATTACCCCTCCCACGTTGCCATGGCACCTGATAGACGATCCCTTAAAGATGAAATTGATCTTCCAAGTACCCACCCACAAATGCTACCTTGGGATTCAAATCACCACCACTAAACCGATGGGGGGGCATATTCATATGACCACATGGAAAAACCAAAGGATTGTCATCCTCCAAATTGGGTCCCAAGGCCTTTTCTATGGGGGTTGAACCCTGGGGGCTCACGTGTGCTGACACGCGGGTGGTTTTTTGACTTGGTTGTGGCTCAGAAAACCGGAATTCCAAATTTTGGACCGGGAACCATATGGCTAACCCGATCGGTAAGTGGAAACATGGGTACCAAAACCCGCGGTTTGCCCCTCCTGTTTAATTTTGAGCCACAGCCACTTCCCCCACAGGGCCCCCCAAATAATCTGACTATACAACAACCATGAGTTTCCTTGCGCTGGCGCTGGGATGGCGAAGAGCGTCGTTGCCTTTTGGTCTGCTTGGCTGGACTTCTTGATGCACTATATGCACTTTCAATACAAACCGTCATGAAGTGCCCTTCGGATTTCTCGATTTGGGTTTGTGAAATAAACTATGTGTTCAGACTCGAACCAATACACACCGTGGGTGCACAATGGGATTTTATGGCTGGCTCCCCCCGGGGTGCTTTGGGCGGGCACCGGCAAGCCTCTTCAATCCACCTAAATCCAGCTGAGCCTCTTGCTCAAAACCCGGGTAGATGAAGGTTGGTAAGGGACAA